TGTGGCCTTGAACTCACAGAGATCCAGAGGGATTTCTATCTCTGGAATGCTAGGATTAAAGGTGTGAGTGCCACCATTTTCTAGCCTTTGTATTTAGTGGCCATCTGTTCTCTGACCCCAGATAAATTTATTAAGGTACACAATATTTTGGGGAACACAATACCACCACACGGGGCAGACAATAAAACAGTATTAAGTAACTATAATAAGGTCCAATAGGCCCATCAATTGAATACTCAGATGATTAGTGATGCCAATGACCGACACCTCGAGTTGAAAAATGCTCAGTTAACTAGTACCTTACCAGAATCTAAGGTTGGATTTCCTCCCCCGAAATCATCTCATCCACAGATTTGTACAGCTGTCTTTTTAGTTCAGGCAGACCTGAGCACTTCTATGAATTAGATTCCTCTGCTGGGCCCTTACCCTACAGTAATTGATGATGGCCTACTCTTCAGAGATATAGCAACAGCAAACTCAGAAAGGAAGATGGAAATCTACTGGACTATTTAACAATTCAATAAAATCAAAGGTGGCATCACAATACTGTCTAAAGAAAGCACACTGCACTGATGTCCATGACCCTCAGTACTGCAGTTACTATCCACAGTGCCATTCTACATTCTAGAAAAAAAACAAGCTCACTCCATAGATTGCCAAATGTAGTGTATCTGGTTCCAATAAATGATTATAAAATGCTCTAGCTGCTGCTCAGAGTTCTGAGATTCAAGCAATGAAGGAAGCCGGCTGACCTTTCACCTCCAGGGACATCGCTTCCACCAAGGACTTTCTGTGAAACTGAGTAAAGCTAGGTGTAAACTCTTTCTTAAGCTAAGGTTAATTAGATATCTGAATTCCAAACTACCTAGTATTTTTAATCTAAATAAAGAAATAATTTGTGTAGTCATTGTCTGTTGTGGAGCTTAAACTCCAGACTGAAATCAAGAATATACTTATTTAACTATTCATTTTTTATTTTCTCCGGCTTTGAGAGGTAAACTACATTCTAAATTCAAATTAATACTAATAGTGGATTTTTAAGCTTATGCAAGTTTATCACCAAATACTAAAATAGCTTTTAGAATTCTTAAAACTTAAAACACTGCCATTACTTACGAATAACAAAGATTAACATTTTTTTATTTTTTATTTATTTTTTTACTCAGATCAACATGTAGTATGCTTTTAAGAACAGTTTTAAACCCAGGCATAATGACTCATCAATAATCCAGCATCTGGAGACTGAGGCAGGAGGAGGGTGAATTGAGGCCAAGTTAGTCTACACAGTGATTTGAGGCTTGCCTGAGCTATGAACTACATAGCCAGATCCTAGTTAGAGGGGAAAATCTGTTTTTTCCTAAATAAAACAGTTAATGTACTTCAAAGGGAATATTACTGGAAAATGTCATAATTTTAAAATGATGTGTTATTCACTTCTCTAACTTTTTTTTAAAAATGAGTTGTCCTTTCTTTATTTTTAAGGAAACAAAACATTACAAAAGCATCCTGACGGTCACTTTTGAAGTTGGTTTTCAGCATTTCTCAGCCTTTGGGGTGAGATCAAATGATGAAATTGATTTTCTTCCGTCAGCGTGATCTGGGCTTTTCCTTTGACCTTGCACAACACCAACTATTGGAAATAATTACTTTAGAAACTCTTGTAGTAATGGACTAACATGTTGATGTTTTTCTCACTGACTATTTTTCAAACTCACTAGAGCCTCTGGAGCGCCCATGAAGATCAGTGAGGGCAGTTTGTACAGGGAGAGTCACGCTAGCCTACACCTGCCCCTCACCAAGTCCAGCTCAGTTAGGTCTCCTTCACATGGTCGCGTCTGTGCAGTGAGTCCTCTGAGTCATGGGTTTAGCTGAGAAAGTCAACAGAAGAGAAACCTGACGTTCACACAAACAGGCCATGTTTCCCTCAGCTCCCAACAGGCACTTCACCTGGGAATACTAGACATATTTTCTTCATTTTATGTGCTAAGCCACAGAAGAGACCTTCCCAAACCGAAGCAAGCCAAGGTGACCTCTACCTTCCCGAGTAAGAGTACATCACACTTAGCCCCACACAACAACCTCATAGGAGACATCACCCCAATACTTGGCAAAAAAAAAAAAATAGCTATTAA